GTTCATACATCTTATTTAGCGTATGTCGATAACGTCGAATGTTCTTCCTTTAGCTTTGCATTAGAACGGAGTTTTGATATCTGTTTATAGCATTGTCTAGGTACCGATTGTTTGTTAAATAACTCACATAAACATAGCAACGATATTATGTATTCCAATGAGAATAAAAATGATTTTCCCACACGCGCACATATTTCACATTTTCATTGGAATACGTTGGTAGAATGGAGAGATATTATTATTTAATTAAGACTTGTTAAGCAAACAATAGTTACCTACACAATTACCTTACAAGAAGAAAATAGTTTTGATTCAAAACTAGAGATAAAACCAGAGTAGGATATGCGTACTGTATGGCTCGATCGTCACGTTCACTTATAGTGACCGTTAAAATGAATTGCCTCCCTTCCATTGAAGGATGATGACATATCTTCTAGTGTTCTGATCTAGAAGCTTTCCATTTGTCCTGTTGTCTAACTGCCCTGATAAAAAAACTGATTTCTATTGTAAGTTTTTTTTTCTGGCATAGATTGCTTCAAGTTTGACAAAATAATTATGGTATGTGTTACAGGTGGTGTTTCTCTAGATATCTTCTTGTTTTACCAGTAATCAAGTATAACTACATCATTGCCATCAAATTCCTCGATAACGAGAGAACTGTTCACTTTTCATGATTATATAATTGAAACCATTTCTGAAAAAAAAGACAAAAAAAAAACAAAAACAAAAACAAATCAAAGCAAATAAAAAATATCAAAACTATATTTTTAAAAAATCAACACACCAAAACAAATAAAAAAAAACTACAGGAAAAAAAACCCTCAAATTTATAGGCACTTACATTCCATTTGGATTTGTTTGATACTGAAGTATGAATCACACGAGACCTCCAGAGATAGAGAAAGAAATATATACTATGTGATAAGTGTCAGTATATGGATACAGGACATCACAGACCAGCTTTAGACATACATATATAGCAATAGAAACAATAGTCTCGTTGTATAGTATTTTATTTCAGTCATGTCCTGCCACACTGAAATCTCATTTTAAAATGGTGTGCAGTCACCTATTTAATTACCTGTTTGTATGTATGTGTTACCTGTGATTTTACGAGGAAGTAAATACTCGGCATTCTATCTAATTACATGTTGTAGAATTTTATTGAAATATCCCAACCATACACGTACCGTCATTTAATAGTTTTAACTTCCTCCTCGAACAAAACGCCCTGAACCAAGTTGTATGCTGAGCGAGGTCAATCGACAATGCAACGTGCTTTCTCTGTTTACATATTACAGTACTGGCCGGATGAATATCTGTTGTCCTATCATTGTAAAGTCGACCGATGGTAAGTATGCATTAGTATACAAAATAGTTTCTGATGATGCTAGATCATCAACAGGCTTTTTATTCATAGCTGAAAAATCGTTTAAAATCTTGTTGTGGGACAATTTTCCTAAAATGTGTTTCTCTGAACTATTTTTTTTACTTTCATTACCATACTCTGTTTACCAGTATAATAAAAAAATACGCACGCCAATACAAAAGAATACTGACAGAGTTTCAATTAAGGATATATTTATTTTCCCCATAACTATATGCAACATTATCAATAAATGTCATGACCAATAAGTTATCTCTCTTTTTCAACACAGTATACATGTACCACTTTGACGCCGTTTTGAACCGAATTGGTTTGCCAATGATGGTGTTATATTAGTGTGTCTACGCTAAATTTACATATCTAAAAGCAGAAAAAACATATAGAGTCTATATTACGTATTGTTAATCTTTCTACCAATCTGCAAATCTTTTTAAATTTTTAAATGTATTTACACTTCGTCTGTAATTGAAAGTCGAAACGCCACCGAATTCATACACCGTCACATCCTTACTATGAATGCTTTCTGTAATACTGTACTTCTTTAACCACGGCCAGTATTGTACCGTTCATATCCGGGTTTTAATGATTCATGCATTGATATAATGTTTCCCTGACGTTCGGAGAAGTATGGACGGATAGAAACATGGACTGTATTGTACTTTTGTTTTTTTTATTCGGCTTTAACATTAAGGTTTATATCTGGTTTACTTCTCTCCTTGTTTCAAAGTATTATTTTTTATGTATGTGATACTCCATCTCAATTTCACCCTCTGATGTAACTGGCTACATTCTGAACACCACTCTCTGATATTACCCGAATTTTACTTCATTTCACATCTGACAACCTGGCTCTGATATAACATTGTTTGCCGCATTGATATGTCACTAATAGTTTGCGATGTATAAATGTTGATGGTATTACATGTAGTGAAATAACGACGAACAAATACCGATTTGGGAATAAAATATTAAATTCAAGATCGAGTAAACGAATGCAGGATATGACGAAAAGAAAGATTTAAACAAAAAATACAAACATAATATGAAAAGGGGTTTCGGCAGAGATTGCGTTTTCTGCTTCATCTAAGTTAACCGCCCCGTGAATCTTCGTCAATCAAAGAAAGTAATGTTACACTCTCTAATGGGATAGAGTTTGAAAACAAAGGAACAACAGGCGTACGAGCATCAAAACTCGGCCAACTTCACATCACACAAGGAAATCAAATTATCCCATTATGACGACTATTAAGTGTGTGCATGATTTTGATCAAAATGCCTCTTTCACGAAACTCTGTGTTGTGAGCTTATTTGTCAGCTGTCGTCTGACAGGGATGTGAGTTTAGGGTATGTTCGATTTTCATATATATTAATGTAATAATATATAAAATTTATAAATATCACATAATTGCTACAGTTCAAGATGTGTTCGGTTCCTTGCGTATTAGTGTAGCAAGACATTATTTACTAATATTACACTATTGCTATAGTTAAAACTAATTCTACATGATATTTGATTTTGTTACAAAACAACCATCAAGAAAATACGGACTAACATGTCAACATAATCCTATACTCAAATTCCATAAAACTAGGGCAAAACACGAACAAAAAAATAGATTAACACAGAGACTCGTGAGAAAGTACAAGGGGAATAAGATCACGTCCTCTGTGCTTCATCGACGACACCCACCAAACAAATCTTGGCCAATCCAATAAATAAATACAGTCACATTCTCAAATAAGAACAAGGTAAACAACAACATAACCAACAAGCAAACTTACATTAAAGATGCCCAGCCTCATATCACACAAAGAAATAGAATATGGCGACCGTAAACTTTTCATTATTTTCATCACCCTTCCTCATATGGAACCCAGTGTTAGGAGTTTGCCCGTCAGTTGACGACTTCCTGCATAAAATCGTAATAACGAGACAAACCCTCGAATATCGAATCAACTGCGACATATCAACATCATAGGTTGGGATATCAGCAAAGATTCACATTCCTCTTATGCTTATATATATATATTCTACATTTAAAAATCAAACAATAACTTGACTTTCCATAATTTGATTTAGATATATATGACAACATTATATTGAACTAGCATATAAATTTACTTCATATGCGCTGTTTATGATAAAGTCAAGCACGATTACTGTTGTGTATGTCGGTACATCACTTCGGTGGACTGATAGTCACTTCCCATTGTTATCAATATCTCTCACGTGTATGATTCAGTTTATGGTTCTTTGTAGGAAGTAAACTGATTTACCAAGCAGTTTTTTCGTCGCTGATGTAAGCTTATCTGTTTTTGGTATTCCAGATAGAATTGGACACTCTGATACGCACAACGTTTAAATAATGAGGAAGGACTGTTAGCTGTTGAAGGTAAGTAAAACTTTTCATACAATTCAGGTGGTAATGTTCTATATTCGTATAAATTTTCTCATTTTCACTGATTCTCTTTTAATTCAGCGGCATATGTTACCAAGATTAATCCCCCCTAATAAGATATCTAATTTCACTTCAGTTTTGTTCCTACTTTGAAGTGCTGAAAACGTGAACTGTGGAGATAAGATTATTATAACTAGTGGGATTTTAAAAAATCCCACCTTTATATTAAGCGTGAGAATTGTATAAATACTATATTTTTATAGTACTTGTATACATCTTGATAATAGTTGCATGTTTCCTATAATTTCTAATAAACTTTGTGGTGACCACTGTCAGTTCATATTAATATTTTTGTTTCCTGTATGTATAGTACATTGGTAGATTGTCAACTTGTTTGAATCAAGCTTCTTTAGAAACTATTGCTTTTCAGACGACATGTTCACTATTTGTTGTAGTCTCCTATATATATCTACCATCCTATATGTATCTACAGCCATATCTAGACTCGAATAGGAACTACCTCCTATGTATTCGAGCTAAGTGCAATGGGAGGCTGCGAGATTTTCATGTAAGCCTCCTTCTGATATCTTTTAATTGTAACCGACTTTATAGAGCTATCACACTGAAATGACTAAAAAAAAAAAAAAAAACACAAGAGCAGAGCATTCCATCTGGTCACATTATGCTGGCAATGGTATGTCTCGACCAGTGGAAAGAGCTGAAAGCCTTCCTTATTTGTGTGAACGTTCCATTAAAGGGCAAAATCAGAGCCAAGGGAGATATAAGGAAGAAATATGTATTTAGAAAGAAGAGGAAAGATTAGATCCAAATTAATCTCTGATGATCATACAACGGGACGGCAGATACAATTACCTTAAAATACATGGAGAGCAAGCACAAACATTCATTCCGTAAGAGATATCGTTGTATCTCTATGTAGTCTTCCTTTTCGCAAAGTTTTTGTGTGGTAAGAAAAAAAGACACAAAGAAAACAAAGAATAAGCAATAACAATACGACTTTGTTTATATGAATGGTACAGATAATGGCGAAATATGATGCTATCTGTACCGTGTTGTGTCAACAAGCACGTCGTCCTGTTCTCTCACTATTGCTACATGTTCCTGTGTCACTCGATTTTTTTTTCTTCTTATTTTTTAGTCCTGTCGTAAGACTTCTCAGGGTTTTTTATGTTCCACCGACAATCGGATACAACATGGCTGCTGGAGTACAACTGTGTAAACAGACCAGTCACTTTATATTTTTTGCCTTATGTAAGTAGACAATTACAAATACTATCATTAACATGTGCACAATGCCTCCTTTGTAAAAATAATTGAGAGAACTGTTGAAAATCACTGATACTTAGAACATTAAGTAATTATCAATATTATAGAGACATCCAACACAAAGCGACATTGTACCAATGTCATTTATATACAAAACAAAGCTAAGGAAACTCCTTACAGTAGCCTATTAACACATCTTCGTGTGTACATATCCCTGATAACTCAGTGTCACTTTATCTAACACCTTTGTTTACTTCAGAATTCAGAAAGTATTGTTTTGTTATCAGTATCGTATCAGCGACAACAGCGACCTATGAGATATAGCGTGTTGATAATGTAGTGTTCGACAGTCGAAACTGATTAACATATCGTGAAAATTTTACAACTGTCATCTGTAAAATGGAATTTTATACAGTAAGGAAAATGCATTAAAACCTACCTCTTTTGCAAGCATGATATTGTAGTCACGGAGATGTATTGTAATGTCATTAGTTTAACAGCATTGGATAGGAATTTAAAAAAAAAAATTTCAATGTATCAAACGTACGATATTTTCATCACGTAGAACATCCTAAAATAACAATTAAGTATACTGAAATATTATCACTTCACGCATCATTCATCACTGTATCACCTAGCATTTGTGATACGATATATATTATAGTGAAGAACATCATTCGTAGCTATATAAGATATTAAACTGTAGTTCAATATTTGAACATATTATTCAATATCTGAACATATCATTTATCAGCTATTAGCTACAACGTTGTAACATCATTATTCATAACTATATAAGAAAGTATGCAGTACAATATTATTTTATATCATATTCTGACTAATCTATCAGTAAACAAATGTAATGGTATCACTTACCATCATATCGAAGTCAACATATTGCATTATTATCTTGTGTTTGTAGAGATATTATGGTGTCTTCCAGTCCCTCATTGGTGAAAATTCAAATTAAACATGAGCTATTGAAATAATTTTGTAGTTCATAGTTTGATAATGATGGTAATAATGTATGCAACATCAGCATAGAATATTGATTTGTTTATCAATAATGAGTAAATAAGGGACCACATCAGTTTAAAATGTTATTAATTAACAAAGTTTGGATATCTACGACCAAGATCGACTCTCTTGTGGTGTAAAAGGATTATTCTTTCATTATGGTGTCTTAGAGACTGAAGCTGGAGTCACATTAAAACTTTTAGATTTGGGAAAACCACAATCAGAGACAATATCTTGCCTATTTCGTATTTAATGTGGTAAATGAGCGTAACTCTCCCAGCCTATTACGCTAAGACTCCACGGGGTTCCTCGTGTTTCCCATTTGTTGGTAGAATTCTTGAGGATCAAAACCCAGATGTAGAAAATGATTGGCGAAATGAGCTATCATAGATGGAACCACATGATATTTTCTTTTTCAAACCAAGCCCTTCTGTGACCGTGAGAATTTCTGTTCAAATGAGGTAAGACTACATGTGAACATTTGTATGTATAGCGAGGGTGATGACATGAAGTGTTTTGTTATCTCACCCTGGTAATATTTCTTCCTACTTCCTGACGTGGGTTAAAGACGCTGTCCTTTTTTCATCGCTGTTGTCTCAGGTAATCGTTATCTACAAGCTTTTAATATTATGTAATACATTAAGAATGAATAATGATTTTACGAGATGAATTACCATCGCTCTTATTTTCAGACAAATTACAGGTGTAGATTATTTCAATTTAAAAGTAAGCAGTCGAAATCCTTATTTATGACAAATGCATGTGAAGGTTCGATATGTGTATCGCGCTATTCAAAATTTATGGTTGAAGCGATCGCTGTATTTATATTTACAAAACAAATACGTGGAAGTTTTGTGTACAGGTAAGCCAGTCAGAACAAGATCACTCTTTTTACTGCATAAATAACGTACACGATCCTGTCGTGGAATTCATTCTTTTCTTTAATGTTTTAGACGTGCTTTGTGTCCTGTGTAACAGGGGAACTTCTCTTAACACACCTATACAAACCACAAGTACAGCATTCTACCCGTCCAGTACCGACGTGTCATCAGAAGGTGAAAAAGCTGTCTTTAGCTCTGACATTTCTACAGTAAAGTTGTCATCGATAGCAAGCTTATCGGAAGAAGAAACGTTTGTTATCACTTCTGTATCAGAAAGCAGCTCCTCAGGTTTGATACCTAAACCTACTTCAGCTGTCGGTGAGACGGTACTGACATCTCCAACAACAACAGAGTTTGAAGCAACACCTACAACGTTATCAAGAGTATCAACAAGTCCAGCTACTGTAGTTGACACATTACTATCAACTCTATTTACTGCAGCAGAGACAGTTGAAACAAAACCTTCAACTACATCAACCATCGTTGAGACGAATGTAACGTTAACTTCTTCAGTTGCCTTTAATACCACACTCATCAGTCAAACAGTTGAGATTCTAAACACGTATACTTTAATCAATGGGGCTGAAATTACTTCATATTTGTTTTACACGTCATCAGACAACAGTCCTGGCACAGCTGGTCTGGATTTATCAATAAACTCTACTTCAAAACAGTCATCAACTACAAGGGAACAATCAAGCAGTTCAATTGTTTCAACCGATTTATTTTCAAATATGTCGTCTGCTATTCGTCCCTCTACAACTTACTTAGGCGTTGGGTCAACTCTTTATATGGAGACGCCGACTGTGACAGATTTAGTTCTAAGTAGTTCGAGGTCACTTTGGGACACCACGTCTGTCATCTTAACCTCCATGCCATCCACTGTTGCGATGACGACTGAAAACTCGCTGCAGTCCTCTACGCTGATGGATAGTGCAAGTTCTGTGGTAACAGAGGTGATATCAACGACACTGACCAATACAAACCCAGGCGGAACTTTAAGTAGTACATTAACCAGCAGTACGTTATCGCCTAAGCCGGAGTTCAGCTCGTCATCTGACGGATTATTTACCACATCAACTACACGTGTTAATACACCTGTCTATAACTCCACGCATCATGCCTCTACCATTACAACATTAGAGACGTCATCACTCGGAACCAGTCATACAGAACATGTGACTTCTCGTTATTACTCCTCATCCTCGTCGTCCGTGGTTTTAGCTCCAACCAGCAGCACTGATGCTGGTATGACGTCATCAGTGATGTCTGTGACACCTGATCCTTCCTTAATCGCAGAATTGGACAGTCTTCGGAACAAAGTCCAAGGTTTGTAAAACTACAGTTGAAATATTATCATTGTAGGACGAATGTCAGAGAGGATATCACGTGAAATTTTCAAAACATATTTAAATCAAATATGCCACAGTGTTAAAGGGAATTGCAGTTTTATTTACTTCCGTATTTATTCGTTTTGGTCTGCTGTTACCCATAATACTGTTGGCTCACCTGTGCAAGTTTTACCTGTATAATTATAGGCGTGTAAGGAGACACAGTCATGAAAAATTATCAAGAATGTCAACACTTAGTTTATGTCGGTTATCCTGACCCATTTATAAGAATTTATTAAATAAGCTCCAGCCATGACCGCCTAATACTACCGCCATTCTCGCTACCTCTATCTCCCACCGCTTGTTTACCTGTGTTTATTTTTATGTGGATAACATAAGTATGTAAGTGGAGTCGTCCTTTTGTGAGCGTTAGGGTCGAAGGCGTCGTAACACAGCCTTAAAATGACATAGCATTCTGAAGTGAATAAAGCATGAAATTTGTCTGTAACATAACACGGGATTGTGGTGATTTAATGTGTTACTACTGCTTTATAATTAACTATGATGTACTATTTGGATACAAAGACTTTGTAAACATTATAATTTTGTCATTATATGACCTACTGGCATAAAACAATTAAAGTAACGTTTTCATTCTCATTCATGAATCTAATCGGACCTACCAGGAAGTGATCAGATATAAGAAATGCTATCAATTAATGGTTCATTTCATTACAACATCAATTACATTGCCCTCCCACGTGGGTTTTCCGCGGGGATCCTACTTTTGTTCCAGATTTCGACCCCCGCTTTAAATATAGATGTTGATATAAGAAATTAGGAAAGTTAGAAGAGTCAACACTAAATTTTAAACAGATTTTGTTGTTTGTAACAAACTATACAAATTCACGATATTTTAAAATCTTTTTATTTTACAGAATTAGAAGACTCCAATAATGGCTTACAGACTGCTATAATTGTGCTTGCAATAGCGTTGGCGGTTATCCTACTGATAATCCTCGGATATATCTTTCTACGTCGAAGGTAGGTCCTGGTCTGTGTTCATAGTCCCAAGGATGTGATCACTGAATATTGTTTATTGTTCAACTACGTCATATTTGTCAGTACCTGAACCTTTAGTGTTTTAATGTTTTAGTTAGAAAATAAGACAAGTTAACAAAGTATTCAAAATGAAATATCTTAAAAATATAGAATATCACATTATCATAAAATGCATAAGGAAAATACTAAAATATGACCAGGTATTCTGGGAGACAAATGTCTCTTGCTTTTTTGACACGCTAATTATGATCAATCCAAATGCATGCACTAATTTCACATTCTTAAATGGAAATGCATTTAACAACAACGAAACAGGCATATTACCGTGTCTGTGGACATAGCATGTTATCTGCTGTCATCAAACGCATAATGAAAGGAGCTGTTTCACTGTGGCCTGTTGAGAATTTTTGTCATTTGTTCTTTCTTTTTAATTTATTTATCTTAGGGAAACAGATGTTAAAAATAATTACTCATTAAAAAGTTTATTATCACATAGAAATGTAGTCACACATAAAGCGTAAGTAAATTGCACATGAAATTCTGTGACGTAGTGAAAAAACACCGAAGTCGTATTGGGGACTCGTTGTAACGTACAGTGCCTTGTGATGTAACGGGTCCGATTTCCTATCGATACATAAGTTTACAAATAGAATTGTATTGGTTCATACTGCAGTACTTATTACAGGTATAATTGTTAGAATCGATCATCATGGACCAAATATCGATCAGCCGTAGAATTATACAAAGCTTAGTCTGAAATGCATTGATACCAGACGTCGATAGCTGGTGAACAAACGACACAGAATATAAACGGACACAGACTGACAAGGACTATGCTAAAGATTTAACCATCGTATTGGTCTTTCCAGGAAACATTTTATTTCCTTGTGTGATTTGATCTTAGATCTTCCGTTCGGTACTCATTTAATGCTCGAAGATTGTTTTATACCCGAGTCCTGTTGAGAACGTGATACAAAAACCTCTGGATTGACCAGGATTAACAAGGCGGATGTCCTCGATGAAACAGCTTTAATAATGTTCTCGAGGGTTGAGACTGAAGATGGTGAAATATTGTTTTTCTTTCTGACCTTGTTAGATATGTTTTTTCTTGTTCCAATGTTTCGTATCATTGACATGACGTCACAGATATACATTTGAATCCCCCCTCTCAACATTAGTTAGCGATAAGGAATATTAAAATCGAGAAAAAGCGGATAATCAGGATGAGAAAAACCCTTCCTTAACTGTAATACAGTTTTCCAGAATTGATTTAGTGTTATACGCAATGAATTCATAATATTACTAAAGGGTTGCTTTTCATTAAATACCGTTCTTTACATTTACCTTTGATAACCACAGATTCCCTTTGTCTTTGACGACGCCCTGACAGCAAAGTAGTTTCCAAGGCGAATGATAAGTTCATACTATTATTTGCAAATACAGTGCATACTTATTATGTCACATTACATATAGATGTATAATTGCCTCTTCACATTTAAACCACGTAATGAAAATATAAGTAATGAAAAGACTTATAAACACCATGTGTAAGTATTGATAATATATACAAAATGGTTGGTAAGTTTCATCTATAGACTGGGATGATCAAATAGACAAGCTTGTAACTAGGCTTTGTTTTTGATGTTGCAGGCGAGCGGCAAAACGAAAAAAGAACAGATTTGCCGGCATCGACGCTGATCTCACTACACCTGTGGTAAGCAAAACGAACCTTTCAGATATCAATAATTGTGTACAAAAGCAAATGACGTCGTTGTTTAACATACATCGGTTTCGTCTTTTTTTAATTAGAAGTAATAATAATTATACCATAGAATGGGATACGTTTCCATCCAGTTGTTTTATCATTAACGTTGAACTAATTAACCATTTTCCTTGCCTTACATGTGGTACTTTTTCCCCTCAGATTCAGCGCCCCAAGCCGTCCTTTGGTTACAGAGATAGTCAGGACGTGTCATTCGGCGGTAGAGTCAGTACAGCTACGCTGGAAGAGAGTGGAGAAATGTCGACATTAGGAACATTTTCTACACTTCCCAAGACTGGAGTACACAATAACAATATGGATACGCCATCTTAGTTCTACTGTCTAACCCCTACAGATTGGAACATATACTAGACCTTATGACGTGTGATCAGTTTAATGATGAAGCCACATTTTAAAGGCAAAAGTCAAATCATTTATCTTAATAAACGTAAATCAACATGTGATGGTAAATACAAGTGAAGAGAAGCACCATGGTCTTTATTCAGTGTGAGTGACGTGTTAGAGTATACCGTTACATGGAAGACAGAAGAGTTCTAATGATCAAATGGTAATTATCTTGTTACAATTTTCACGTGATACCTTAACACAGATTTATGCTGTCCTCTACTCGCCATATAGAGATACAAATCTGGGATACTTTACGCTTCATCAGTTTCTCCTCAAGAAATAGAGAACATGTAAATAAAGTGCTTATTGGGCCAATGAGGTCTCACAATATCCTAGAAAAGAAACTAACTGTGCCATTTGTTTCTGCAAATGTGGACAAATGTATTTGGAGATAAGTTTTTCATGGTGACATGATAAACATGCCGTGGAATAAGTATTATCCGGGACGTCCCTGGTATTATTAAGCTTAATGGGCTATTATTTTCTTGCTTCACGGAGATAAATAACTATGTGGATTACACGCTGAGAAGTACATGGAATAATGAATATATTAAAGCAGATATCTTTGTGTGATAATGTACGAAGCTATCCGGTTGTGTCTATACTGATATATGCATTATTCAGAGCTAATGTATGTTGAAACATGGTTGTCAGCGTGATCGCATATACAAGGTTGAAGTATTGTTTTAAAGACCTGTGATGTTGCCATAACTTACTTGCCGGTATGTGTGTGATTGCCGGAAACCTCTACACAACATATATACCTATAGAGTACCTTCTTAGTGACTTTATTTATGTATTTCAATGTAAAGCGATATTTGATATTAACATTCTTAAATATAAGATAAGAAAGCAAACGAGGAAATTGTCCATGCTCAACACTTCATTTTTGTTACTAATTTTCTTTTCGTCCAACACTCCATACCAAGTTCAACATATACCCATGTATATTATATACCGATACTACATTCAATAACTACATAGTTTGGCTCATTACGTCAATGTAGAACTATACGATGAAGTGTGTGACTATTAAAATCACTTAAGTAGCATGTGCGAGTGTAATTTAGATTGGAGAAATTTCATGATCTAATCCTCGATATAATCTGACGTTTGCCCAAAAATGGCGGCCATCTTTTCGGTTTAAGCAAATGATCGACATTAACAGTAATGAAATGAGAAATGTATTATAACGATATGCTAAGATGTGTCATCGAGAGTACGATATTCTTTGTGACATCTCCTGATTCGCCTTGTCTCCGCTTGAAGTAAGTCTGTCATTAATTTCAGATTGTCGATAAGGAGGATAGTCGTTACAGTAGGAGATATTCTCAATCCAGGGATCTACTTCCGTTTGCCAAACGGAATATTGTGATATTGAATATCACAGCTAAATGAAATAATACCACAATGTATTGTCTCCTACCTTTACTGGATATTACATATATAGAGAATGATACATAAAGTCCATGCTTTATTTGAAAAAACACTGTGACAACTTCAGATGAGTCTCCCGTCATGATCTCTTGCCAATACCTCTCTACGGTATCTGTTGTTTTATAGATTTACTTTGTTGAACAAATACCTTTACCATTCAGAGATCAACATGACGAATTTCATGTATGTATACTAGAAATCAATGTAAGCAACAAACTAAGACAGTCCGATAATTCACGCACAGAAACATTTCAAGTCTTTTCATATGTCTACATCAGACCCGAATATAGAGACAACTTAACTGGAAAGTGGGCGTAGCTTCTACGTCATCAGTGGTGGAAAGGGGCGTTTTTATGGCTGAAGAACATGTGAGTAATCGTTTCGAACAAAAAAAATGCAGTTCTTACTTTTTGTCGAGTTTCATTCATATTGAGAAAATTACTTCACTTTTGGAATCAAATTATTTTAGAATGGAAATAGTATGTTTGTTTTCATTCTGGGGATTAGATGATGAATTTTGTCGTTTTAACACGAGATGAACCAAAATTGATTATCTAATCTCTAGTACATGTATACAAACAAGCAAAATATCCTCAAATTAATACGTGTTTGAATGCAATACGATAGTGATAATTTCATGTCGGTGTAGCATTGCAATTAGTATTACGTGTGTGAGTGTAATATTGTAGCAACAATTACGTGTGTGAGTGTAATATTGTAGCAACAATTACGTGTGTGAGTGTAATATTGTAGCAACAATTACGTGTGTGAGTGTAATATTGTACCGACAATTTCATGTGTGAGTGTAATATTGTAGCAACAATTACGTGTGTGAGTGTAATATTGTACCGACAATTTCATGTGTGAGTGTAATATTGTAGCAACAATTTCGTGTGTGAGTGTAATATTGTAGCGACAATTACGTGTGTGAGTGTAATATTGTAGCGACAATTACGTGTGTGAGTGTAATATTGTACCGACAATTACGTGTGTGAGAGTAATATTGTAGCGACAATTACGTGTGTGAGTGTAATATTGTAGCGCCAATTACGTGTTTGAGTGTAATATTGTAGCGACAATTTCGTGTGTGAGTGTAATATTGTAGCGACAATTTCGTGTGTGGGTGTAATATTGTAGCGACAATTACGTGAGTGAGTGTAATTTTAGGCGACAATTTCGTGTGTGAGTGTAATATTGTAGCGACAATTTCGTGTGTGAGTGTAATATTGTAGCGACAATTTCGTGTGTGAGTGTAATATTGTAGCGACAATTACGTGAGTGAGTGTAATTTTAGGCGACAATATCGTGTGTGAGTGTAATATTGTAGCGACAATTTCGTGTTTGAGTGTAAAATTGTAGCAACAATTTCGTGTGTGAGTGTAAAATTGTAGCGACAATTACGTGAGTGAGTGTAATATTGTACCGACAATTACGTGTGTGGGTGTAATATTGTAGCGACAATTTCGTGTGTGAGTGTTATATTGTAGCGACAATTACGTGTGTGGGTGTAATATTGTACCGACAATTACGTGTGTGGGTGTTATATTGTAGCGACAATTACGTGTGTGGGTGTAATATTGTAGCGACAATTTCGTGTTTGAGCAGTGTCCTAGCACAAAACATTTCAATCTGTATTATCATTTTTGTCATCCTGCCTTTATCTGCGTACTATTTGTCTGTGTCTGCTGTATTATAAGATGTCTACTGTATCATAAGACATTTTACTGTATAATAAGACATTCTACTGTATAATAAGACATTCTACTGTATAATAAGACATTTTACTGTATCAAAATACATTCTACTTTATCATAAGACATTTTACTTTATCATTTTAATACATTCTACTGTATAATAAGACATTCTACTGTATAATAAGACATTTTACTGTATCATTATACATTCTACTTATCATAATACATTCTACTGTATAATAAGACATTTTACTGTATAATAATAATACATACACATTCTACTGTATAATAAGACATTCTACTGTATAATAAGACATTCTACTGTATAATAAGACATTCTACTGTATAATAAGACATTTTACTGTATCATAAGACATTCTACTGTATAATAAGACATTCTACTGTATCATAAGACATTCTACTGTATAATAAGACATTCTACTGTTTTACTGTATAATAAGACATTCTACTGTATCATAAGACATTCTACTGTATAATAATACATTTTACTGTATCATAAGACATTCTACTGTATCATAAGACATTCTACTTTATCATAAGACATTCTACTGTATAAGAAGACATTCTACTGTATCATAAGACATTCTAATGTATAATAATACATTTTACTTTATCAATAAGACATTCTACTGTATCATAAGACATTCTACTGTATAATAAGACATTCTACTGTATCATAAGACATTATACTGTATAATAAGACATTCTACTGTATAATAAGACATTCTACTGTATCATAAGACATTCTACTGTATCATAAGACATTCTACTGTATAATAATACATTTTACTTTATCATAAGACATTCTACTGTATCATAAGACATTCTACTGTATCATAAGACATTATTCTGTATTATAATACATTCTACTGTATTATAAGACATTCTACTGTATCATAAGACATTCTACTGTATAATAAGACATTCTACTGTATCATAAGACATTTTACTTTATAATAAGACATGTATCATAAGTCGTTTGATGTATTATAAGAAATTCGTATTTATTATAAGACATATGTTGTATAATAAGACATTCTACTGTATCATAAGACATTCTACTGTATAATAAGACATTCTACTGTATCATAAGACATTCTACTGTATCATAAGACATTCTACTGTATCATAAGTCGTTTGATGTATTATAAGAAATTCGTATTTATTATAAGACATATGTTGTATAATAAGATATTCTGCTGTATAATAAGACAATCTGCTGTATAGTAAGACATTCTGTTGTATCATAGGGATTTATTCTGTATCATAAAGACTTTTTGTTCCATGAGTTAATTTGCTACGGATAGGACTGTTCAAAACAGAAATAAAGCACATCTTCAGCTGATTTCAGTTATGTACGTTTCTTTACTTTTTATGGGATTAATAACTTAACGTTAATTTTTGAATAACAACGATTATTAACGATGACTGATTATGTCGGATGGACAGCGGACAGATCGACTGGTGACGGAAAGAAAATGAAGAGACAAAGCAACACTTGACGGACATAGAAAGGGTTACGGACGGACACAACTGTCATAAAGAGTGATACATTACAAAAAACTGAGGGAAAGGGACGTATTGGCACATGAAATTATTTAATAGGAAACAAATTTAGCAAATCCCTGGAAGTTATATATTTGGAGAAGAAAAAGTCAATCCTTAAACCTTTAATGATACAACTTTTTAATTGTTTTTGAATTTGTTACTTTATATCCATAAGGCTGATGGCGTGCAACTCTTAAATGGATTGTATAACTGACCGAATCGTCT